TATACAGGGTGTTCCATTTAAAAAAATACAACTATAATATTTTTTACTTATTTGGGACACTCTGTATCTTGTAAAAATGTTTTTAAATTGTAGCTCTAATAGACCTTTATCAAACCCAAAACTTACAATTTGTAAAAATCTAATCGTTTAGCTACAATACTCCGTGTCGTATGTGGTGAACAACCCTGTATAAAGTTTTTTTATACAACAGATTTCGGTTAAACGAAAGTTGAGCCGAAAAAGTTACCAAACTTTCAAATTTTCCACTAATTATACTTCAAAAGTTGCGAGGAATGTCATTGTGGCGTTTGATTTCATCCGTCAAGAGAAATTATGGTTGGAAGTCAAAAGTTTATTGTTTTATAAGATAACTATTACACTTTCTCTATGGATACAACTGATTACCGCAAGGATACAACAATGTTAATTGTGTTTTTTAAAGATTGTGAATGATCGTAAACTAGAAAGTATAAAGTCTAACATTGAAACCACTAATTGCGATGTTCTGAATGAAGCTTTAGCTATGAAAGTTAGTACGTCTATAACTTAGGAACCTCTAGAGCGATCAAATAACGTACAACTTTTTTCACAACTTGGCCCGTTACGATTCTCATTTTATTAATTAATCCCACGAATAATAAAACGTTTAATGATAAAAGTTTAAAATTATCAATTTCTGCCCGGCCTCTCCGACGCAATTTCTCGCCGACTTGGGCCCTTTTAAATCGGTCTATTTAAAGCACGTGCGTCCACGAAATTGTATTATAACTTATAATAAAGAGGATGCCTCGCTCGGCCCCAGATTACAAGAGTTTTAATACGAAAACTCGCGACGCGTTGTTGTTTACCTTGGCATCGTAAATTTGAGCCGGCCACATATCAGCTTTTTTACGGCGACGTAGTGCTTCAATTTTGAAACAAGGTTTTATTTATAGTGGTAGTCATGTACAGGGTGGACCATTTTGGTTGTTTCTATAGGGTATCTAGGAAACCGTGAGAAATATTCAAATTTTGATACTGCAGTCTCTGGTTATTTTTTTGAAAAAATTACAATGGCGCAAACGGATTGTGGCTATCTTGATCGGTTTCGAAGCTACAGGGGGATTCTCAAATTTTGTACTTTTTGAAGATGCTCGATAGTTTGTTTATTTCAGCAACCACGGAAAAATGAATTATACATTCTAAAGGCACTAAAGCCCGATTGAAGTAACCTCTTGAGTTTTTATTAAAATATGTTCTTTTGTTTCTGTCACACTTATTTTTTATTTGCTTCGTATTGTTCGATTTTATTTAATTGCTAATTCATGTATTCGGCTCCGAGGACATTAATATATTGATTTTCTTCATCTTCTTTCTGATAATTTTTCGGACGCGGTTTTTGAAATTATCCAAAATTGATTAAACTATTTTCTAACCTTTTAAAAATTACTGGGTTTGGTTGCTCGCGCTCTGGATACCGCTCAAAATATAAATCAGCTGCCATTTGCATATGTTTGTAAGACTCAATATAACATTCTAACATATTATATTTCTCAAAATTTTCAAATTTACTCATTTTTTATTATTTAAAATACACACACTTCAATCTGTTGAAATGAAATGTCCCGCATCCATGACAATTGTTTACTTTGTTACTCGACGCGGCCTACTATCTACTAAGTGGAAAAATACAGTAAAAATATACCGGCGGTGCCATTTAAAAACCAAAAGTTGTAGTCATTTCCGGTGAAACGGGAAGTGACCAAAAACAATTGAATGCGTCAATCAATCCCAATTTATGTCATATACTAACATACCAAATCTCGTTTTTTTATCTGAAAAAATAAAAAAGTTATAGGGTGAGCCACTTTTGAGATGCACCCGGTATTTGTACTCAAGTATTTATAACTAATTCAACTTAGAAGACAGATTAAGTTATTTTAATCATGAGGGTTATAAAATATAATTGGGAGAACTGAAACAATCTGAATATTGTAAATTCGTGGTATGTGCTTATTTAATTTTTATTTGATCGTTCAAAATATAGTAAATTCATATTAATGAGTGTCAAAAATCTGTTTCAAGTTACTGTTCTATTAAGACCCGATATTTATAATAAATCAACAACTTAACCGTTTTCAATCTAGTTACTCTGATTGTTCATTTTAGCAAGGACCTCTCTCCTTTCAAATTAATTTATCTTGTTCGATCCAGATGATCCTGGCTTAAAAGCTTCGTAAATTTTCATCGCAACTGACCCTGCTGAGTGGCGAATATCCAGAGTAAACGGAATAGCGCATATCTGGCACTGGTCGAGAGCCAAGAACAATGTTGTTGAATTTATGATCGGCCAAAGTTTTTAATAAGACTTTTAATAATGGTATCGCTTTTGTGAGTCTGGTAGCGATAAGATATTTTTTAAAGTAGGTTCTATTATTTGTAGCAATATAGTTGCAACAACAATTAAGTATGTGTTTTTTCTTGGTGTTCAGAAAAAAATAAACTTGTCTTAGGACAAATATGTAATTTAATTCATTATTATTATCGATATTTTACATAAAAACTTCGTTATTTCAAACACAACGCTATGTATTTTTTTAAATAAATCGAAGCAGATTTAAATGCTCGTTCAAACTATATTAGGGTTTCCTATACCTATCTGACTCAGATTTTGAATAAAAAGCGATGTTTCAATAAAATGGAAATCAAGATGGTTGGTGTCGCCATGGCAATTTTCTAGTGAGAGTTAGTAGCGATTTTCAAAATCGACATTAGTTTATGGACTTTATTTAAATTTATAGCCAATGTTTATAACGGGAGCTTCAGGTTCACAAGGTTCCGTTACAAATAGGTTCCAGCTAGCTCAGTAAATAATTAAATAAAATATATGCACAGAACAAGAGATATCATAAGTGTATTGATTGAAAAGTCTAAAATGTACTAGATTCGTTTAATAAATACTAAATCTAAAGTTAAAACAAATTGTCAAAATCTTATCATAAGATGTATCAAATATTTAAATAAGAAATAAAGAAATATATACAGGGTGGTCCGAATTGTATTCCGGAAACTTCGGCAGCATATTCTGCAGATAAAAATATGTAAAAAAGTTCGTATAAATGTATGTCCTAAAATGCTTAGTTTCGGAGATACAGGGTGTTGAAGTTTCATTTTTATATCGATTTTTTCCAAATGATTTATGAAGTAACGTCAATATTTGGATGAAAATTGGTGTCTGGGAGTTTTTTGACTTGGGAAATTTGATTTTGATGTCAATATGACTCCTACTTACAGAGGGCGCCACCTACATATTTTTTAACTGGTTTGAAGAGTAATAACTTTTCGTCTGTACCTGTATAAAACTACTGAATAAAAAAATATACATTTACGACTCTTATACGTAAAAATCGCTACGAGTAATGATTTTCGAGATATTTGGAATCGAAATTATCAATATCTGTCATCACTGACATAAATTAAACATATGTTGACTAAATAGTTATTAGACTGAGATCATAAATTTGAAATGTTTTTGTACCAAAAGTTCAACAACAACTGTTTTATCATCATTTTTTTGCAGAAAAAATATGATTAATTTAAAAAAATAAAAATTTCCCAAATTTATTAATTCAGCGAAATAACTACCTACTCAACGTGTTTATTTTTCGTCAATAATGGCATGTATTGACTATTTCCATTCTAAATATCTTGAGAACGGTTGCTCGTAGCGACTTTCACAAAGAGATCTTTTTTAGGTAAAGAATCACAGAGATGTATATTTTTTCCCTCGGTAGTTTTCTACAGGTACGGACAAAAAGTTATTACGCTTCAAAACAGTTAAAACGCATGTAGGTGGCGCCCTCTACCAGTAGGAGTCATATTGACATCAAAATCAAATTTCTCATGTCAAAAAACTCCCAGACACCAATTTTCATCTTAATATTGACATTACTTCAGAAATTATTTGGAAAAAATCGAAATAAAAATGAAATTTCTACACCCTGTATCTCTGAAACTAAGCATTTGAGGACATACATTTATAAGAACTTTTTTAACTATTTTTATCTGAAGAATATGCTACCGAAGTTTCCGGAATACAATTCGTACCACCCTGTGTATATACTAGTAAAAGTATTTTTGTGAAAGTGAACTATCCGTAAAATAAATTAAACCATGAATAGCATCACAAAATATTGCTGTGACTAAACTGTGAACAACCCTGATGCGTAATTGTGGTTATGATTAAATAACTATAAAGAATAAAATTAAATTTAAATGTAAAAATACAAATTTAAATAAAGTCCATAAATAACAATTTACTTTTCTTTAATTTACCTACAATAGTTTAATAAATAAGTATTTATTATTTTATCAAGAAAAATGTGAACTAGTGATTTTTATTTTGTGAGGAAACTTGCTTGTTGGCCTGAAGGGTTTTTGCTCAAAGATATCCAAATAAGAATTTTCTTGACAACCGTTCCTTTGAAAAAATACTTTTTCTATTTCACAGAGCTGATAGTGTGGTATGTGAAAAACTTATTAGGCAGAAACCTGTCGTTGGGAGAGAAGAAAATGAATTTGCCTTAATTGGTTCTTTTATAGAAAATTCAATATATCTACAAGTCATCGTAATACAAATCAAAGAACTACTTAGGGGAACCGAAGGCAAAACGGACCCTGCAGGCAAAACGGACCGCCTGTATATTTCTCCTATTAATGACGACATCTATGGGAGAATTCATAAATTAATTTCTTATTCGGTTAGATCCCGCGGACATTTAGTCATTTCCCGGTGAAGTGCACAGGTGCCCTTTTGTCAAGGTAAGTAGTTTTTTTCTATCGTTGATCTAAAATTTGATATTTTTCTGTGTGCTGCATTTTTGATTGAAATAACATACAAAAATGTTGTAGTGCTTACCTGAAATAGCAATATATTGGCTTTTTAAAAATTAGTTTACCGGATTGTTTACGTGTAACATAACCCCAAAGTTTTAATAACATTTTTGTGCTTGCTGAAAAGGCAAAACGGACCGGGCAAAACGGACCAGCTGTACCGTTTTGCCTTCTATGGTCCATTGTGCCTTCTAGATTGTGCCTTGTGATTGCCTTATTAGAAAAACCGGTGGCGAGTGGTGGAAGGTTATATGGTCTCTTGTTTTACTTTTACTGAAAATCTGCTTTATTTTTTCAGATGGTTAGCAACTATAAAAGAAAAACGAATCGACAGAGCTGGTCCAGCGAATCGATGAAGAATGCCGTTGAAGCCGTGTATAAAAAGGTCATGGGGCTAAGAAAAGCATCAGAAATGTTTAACGTTCCAAAAACCACATTAAAGCGGAAGGTCGACATGTATACGAGATCTCAGAACCTCGACGGTGCGATTTCGAAGAAAATGGGTAGATTTGAACCTATATTTAGCAAAGACCAAGAAAAGGAGTTGGGTGACTATGTCAAAAACATGGAATCACGCTTTTTTGGGTTAACGACCAAAGACTTACGGTCCTTGGCTTATGATCTCGCCGAAGCAAATAAGATTCCGCACAATTTTGATACCACAACTAAAATGGCTGGAAGATATTGGTTAGAAAATTTTTTGGCTAGAAATTCTGATCTGAGCCTACGGAGACCAGAGGCTACTTCTGCAGCCAGGGCTAGTGGCTTCAATCCAACGGCAGTAAAGCAGTTCTTCACTTTACTAATAGAAGTTATAGATAAATATCAGCTCAAACCCGAAAATATATTCAACGTCGATGAAACCGGTATTACGACGGTTCCTAAAAGTTTGCCAAAAATTATAGGCAAAAAAGGAAAAAAGCAAGTTGGATTGTTAACCTCTGCGGAAAGGGGCCAGCTGGTCACTACTGTTTTTTGTTTTGGTGCCGATGGATCTTACATGCCCCCAATGTTTGTGTTTCCACGAAAACGGATGAAACCAGAACTAATGAATAATGCACCCAGAGGCTCTTTTGCCGAGTGTCATGAAAGTGGCTGGATTCAAAAAGACATTTTTACCAAATGGTTCGAGAAGTTTGTAAGATTCTCAAGAGCTACCAAGGATAACCCAGTTTTACTGCTCCTAGATGGACATGCGAGCCACACGAAAAACTTGGATCTCATACGTTTAGCTCGTGATAATGGTGTGCACATACTATCATTTCCTCCCCACTGCACACATAGATTGCAGCCCCTTGATGTGGCTTTCATGAAGCCATTGTCTGCATATTATTCAGATGCTGCAAAACAATGGTTACGATCTAATCCTGGCAGAACCATAACGCAATTTCAAATTGCAGAATTGGTGGGTGAGGCATTTGTAAAAGCCGCCACTCTCCCCACTGCTTACAACGCATTTCGAGCAACTGGGATATGGCCACCAGATCCAAATATTTTCACAGAAGCGGACTTCTTAGCAGCAGATACCACCAACATTGATCAATCAACTGATGATCCACCAAGTTTGCCACCAGATTTTGCCGAAACCAGTAGTCATACCCAGCCAGGTTGTTCGAAGTATTTGCCTGGTAAAGAACCAACATCAATTTTAGTTCAAAATGAGAGCGACGATTCTGATGAAGATGTTCCACTGGCACAAATTGCTATGCGTAAATCGTCAACAAATTTAATTCGAAATGAGGGTGATTCTGATGAAGATGACCTAGTGGCAGCAGAAACCATTAATGATCGTCCGTTAAGTTTGTTGTCGGCTAATACCGAAACCAATGCCACTAAAGTCGATCCTCAGCCATCTCGGACTGGTAATTTAATTCAATCAATAGACTCCTTAAATAAAAATAGCTTTTTGGTATCACCTGAACTAATTTTGCCCGTACCACGGACAAAACAAATTAAGAGAACTACACGGAAGAGAGGTAAAACCACAATTATTACTTCGTCGCCATACCAAAAAGAGCTGGAAACCGCACAAGTTAATGCAAATCAAGTTAAAAGGAAAGTTACTTTTGGTGATTCTGCTGGGGTGAAGAATAAAAAGAAAGTAAGAAAGGATGCAAAGAAGGAAGTAGCAAAAGAAGTATCGGAGTCAAAACGTCACGTACAGATATCATCTGATGAGGACAAAGATGCGCAGTGTTTGTACTGCCAATATTTTTATTCTGAATCTACAGAAAGTTGGATTCGGTGTTCAGTTTGTGAATTATGGGCACACTATTCATGCGCTGGTATAGACAGTACTGACATTGAAACTGATTTTGTGTGCGAAAACTGTCAGTAATATTTATTGTTCTGTTTATTTATTTTTAAATGTTTAATTCGCCTATAACCCTTTATTTTGTTATTATATAATATATTTTTCACCTTGGTCCATTTTGCCTGCTACAATGTACCATTTTGCCTTCTAGTGCAGGCAAAACGGCCCATTACAGTTGTTTTTTGTTATTGTTTTTTTTAACTAGTCTTAGTTATTTTTTTTGCCGTGTTTATTTTTTATAAACTGTAAAACTTACAGTTACAATTATGTTTTTTCCCACGAATAAAGATTTATATTTGACAAATTTATTTTCCATTTTCCTTAAAGGTGCCATTTTGCCTTCGGTTCCCCTATTCGTTTTTCTTGATAAAATAATAAATACATAGTTTATTTCTCTGGCTTTTAAACATTTTAAACCCTTATTTTAATTTATTAAATGCCTTATTTTATGTCCAAAAATAAAATAAAATACCAGGTGTTCCATAAGAAAAAATAAGTTCTGATACACCCTGTACATTTCAAAATAATTTTAAATTATGCACATATATCCACATATACCCATAAAACATTTAGTTTCTACATCTTTCCGTTTTCATATAATCAACCGAGGCGAATGAGGTGCGTCACCCTGTATATTTATAACCTGCTGGTCATCCAATTTATGTGGTCTGGATTTTAATGAGTGTGACAGAGAATAATATAAATGACCGGTTGACAGACAAATAGAGAAAATATAAGCTATTTTAATACCTTTCATGTATCTATACTACTGAAATGATGATAATATATCTAAACTAAATATAATCTATTACAGCTGTAGTAAAATGAGTAACTAATAGTGAAAAATAAAGTTCCAATCCTAGATGCAACATTTTTCGCAAACCTTTCCTTGTGCGGTTTGAAACCTTGATGCAAAATCCGGTAATACCGCATATAAGAAGTGTGTCGACCCAATTTTACTCTTTTTAATACATTTGATTTTCCATTAAGCTGTCTACATCATTGTCTTAGACGTTAAAATCCAAACCGCACAGTTTCGATGACAAAATTGGTATATATTTTAAGTCGATATATACCCTGTATATATCGACTTCCCAGAAATAAGTGGAGATATTTTAAGGGGTGGTAGATCTGGTCAAAATAAACATATTTTCTCTTTACCATTTTTAAAATAAATTGAAAATAACCGAGTTATTTAACTTTGAAAATTTAAAAAAATAATCGCAACATTTGGAGAACCGCCGGTAGATATTGCCAACTACATCCAATTACCCGGATCAAGCCCGGATTTCAGTTAATTCGACGCACTGTGTTGCCATATGGACAAGAAAGTATATGTTTACAAGTAAGTCATAAAATCACAACACCTGAGGAGTTTGCAGAGATGCATTACATTTTTAACATTGTGATATTATTACATAAAATAAATTTAAAGTTAAATGTTTAAAAGTTAAATTGAAAAACTTACCCAACATTAAAAAAGATACTTATGACAGATCGATTAACTGCGACAGTTCTCTTTTTCGATACACACTTAACTAAAATACACTTCATTGTGCTGCTTTACTTGTACGTGCTATTATAAAAACTGCTAAAATAACAGTCCCCATTTTTAACTTAACACATTATTTTCATAGAGGCTTCATCACAATTTGAACCACTGATTTACAATTACACAACACCTTGAAAAGCACACATTACACATTACTTTGAATATCTTTCTTGAATAAATGTTGAGAATTATTGTCTCTTACCGCCACTTTACGAACTACTTTCAATCTAAGAAAATACATGTTTCACTCAACAATTTTAAATACGTATTTTCTTTTTCGCTATTTTTTCGATGTATTTCGACAATTCCGTCAACAGCCCAACCATCCGTCGGCCAAGACAGCCACGCATCACTGGTTGGTAACTGCTCACTGCTTCTTTGTCGCGCCGGCGTGTCGAGCTTGCGTCATGCGAGGTTGCCGTAGTTTCAACAATTTCAAATTCAAGACACTCGAAGCAATCAAATTCTTATTAAATTTTAAAAATAAAACAGAAAAACATGAAAGGAAACAAACAAAACACAAATGAATTGATTATTGATAAGGTCACAAAAAAGAAATTTTCTAAAATGTTTATCGTAATTCAGAATTCAATATATCGAAAACAGCCCGACGAATAATCAATTCACTTTCGTTTTCTTTGTTTCCTTTCATGTTTCTCTGTTTTATTTTTAAAATTTAATACAAATTTGATTGCTTCGAATGTCTTGAATTTGAAATTGTTGTAACTACGGCAACGTTGCTTAACATCGTCGTCTGACGCACTTGTGTGTAGCCCTAGCAGGCAACTATTAAGCCCGACCAATCACGTTAGAGTTTTTGACACACACAAATGAATTAACACACCTCAAATAACCACGCTAACCAACCTGATTGGTCAAGCTTAAATGTTGACTGCTAGGGCTAGACACTTCTGTCTGACGCAAGCCTGCCACGACGGCGCGGCTCAAAGTACCAGTTCACACGTGGCACTCTTGGCCGACGGGCGACGGTTTGGTTGTCAAAATACATCGAAAAAATAGCGAAAAAACAAAATACGTATTTAAAATTGTTGAGTGAAACATGTCTTAGATTGAAAGTAGTTCGTAAAGTGGCGATAAGAGACGGTATTCAAAGTAATGTGCGCTTTTCAAGGTGTTTTGTAAATCAGTGGTTCAAATAAAACAGAGAAACATGAAAGAAAACAAATATTGAATTCTAAATTACGATAAACATTTTAGGAATTTCTTTTTTGTGACCTGGTTGTGAATAATATGATGAATCATTTTCGTAAACGTCATAAACGTAATGTTTTAGTTAATTTTCGGTGGTTTTTGTTAAGTTTTCATTGAAAGGGTAAGTACTAAAAATAATTAATGTGTTTTTTTTTTCTATAATAATTATTAATAATGAGCACTGATAAAAATTTAACATTCCTAATTTTTGAGTAGAAATTTTTCTATGAATTTATAAATGTAGAACTATGTAGAATGTGGATAACATAGGAGGTTGCAACACTGCAAGGTTTAGATACACCGTAGAGATCTCAGGTGAATAAACAAGTGGCACTAAAAAGTTTTTTCAAATTTCCCGGAAAATGTCAAGAAAAATTTTAAATTTTCAACATTTTTTTTTCGCAAAAAAAACCTCATAGGCGTGTTTCTGGGGTTGAACTATACTACTAGTTAAAATATTTGCACTTATTTCTGGGACACCCTGTATAATTTTTGAAATCATGATTCGCACTTCTCTTTTCCAAAAATATTCGCAGCGATTTAAAATGTGGTTAAAGCATGGCCATTACGGACTTCAGACCGTGTGTCATACACAGAACTGAATCACGAATCGCCGCTTTTTGGCCAAATAAACACTCGTCCGGGCTCAGTCAGCAACCGCTGCTGCCTCCGTCATAATGTCCGCCGCTTTGCGGAAAGCAAACTTTTTGCGCTGCTTGGCAGAAATTTATGCGGTGTAAAAATTTAGATTTGGGACGGAAATACATTAGTTTTGTTTATTTAAACGTCGCAGTTTTTGCCGTTTGGATGCTATCACAGAATGCAAACGTTAATGTGTTGTCGTCTCTACTGAAATTCTTATAATGGGATGTCATAAAAATGGGACGTTTTAGATGCTGTTATATTTTGTAGAATTTGTTTTATATTTTTTGCATTTTTATTTTAATAAATAATTTTAATTGTTAATATTTGCACAATGCATTCACCAACTAATAGAATCATATCAGTTCTCTCTGATCATTTTCACGCATTTTCGGCAAATTTCTGAGAATTTTTTTTATTTTAACTGACACAAAATGATAACTAGTTGTTAAAGTTGGACTAATTAGACAGCTATGTTGAAGTAATATCAGACATATCACAGCCACCTAGATTTTATCAAATAATAAAGATCTACCCAGATCAAAACATGTAAATGAAAATATCTAGGAAAATCTTTGTTTGAGGGGTAGCAACCTTAACAGTATTTTGAAGAAACATGAATTCTCCATCGGAATAATATACTGGGTATTCCATTTAAAATAATAGAGTAACATTCTTTTAAAGGTGACCAATATTCAATATTAATTTTGTCTCACTCTTTATAACTTTTTGGGTCAAGTTTAATATGATTTAAAGTACAATAATTATTTTAACTACATATTAGGCTATACCGGGAAAATTTCAGTTTAGGTAGTTTTTATTGAAATTTAAAAATAATTATTCTTTATTTATTGAAAATGTTAAATACGTTAAAAGCCTTGCATTTTAGTCACATACTTCTCTAATGAAACTCACCTTTATTTTTCTGCTTAAATCCGAAAATGAATTAATATATAGGCTGTTCCGTTACAAGAAACAAAACTTTAATGTGTAACTTTTTTTGAGGAACTCTCTATATTTTTAAAAATGCTCTAAATTAACTTACATATGCTCACAAAATTTCATTTCAATAGAAACGGTGGTTCTCCTTAGAGCCTCCGAGTCGTATGAGAGGCGCCACCCTGTATATTATATCAAAGTTTTAAATAAATACGATAAAAATTATGAAATGGTAAGTGCAATAATTTTGTTGTCACGTACTACCAACGTTCAACTTGTAGTTCTACAATGAATTAAACATAAATTAATGATTTAACTTCATTAATTTTATCACTTCAAAATCTATTAACAAATAACATAATTATAAAATACTCAGATTCTATTAGAAATGAACAACATATGACATCCTGCCTGTCAAAAGACCGGATTACCGTGTATTATACGTATCCTTATGCGTATGTATGCGACGCATTAATATTCAAGTTGTAATTAGCTAATTGTCTTAGGTTTCCTTTCCTATTAACGTCAAGGCCAACTTGATATAATAATTTACCGCATGTCTTGTTAAACAAGAAATAATTATTTTCCGCCTGTTTGGTTTTCGATATTAATCCATAAATTATAATTTTTAACAATATACTGAAAATTTATAAATAGAAAAAGCTTATATTTTATGTATTATGTCATATGGATTATTTTACACCCAAAATAAAATATTTAATGTTATTTTTTTTGAGCCACAATAGATATATGATAAAGTATACCTTGCTCTGACAAGAGGCGGCTGGCACTTGCTTGGGATCATCCTCCACAAGTGGTACACAAGCTACCACCTTCTCCAGCAAAGGTCGGGAGCCTACCTCTAGACCCA